GGGGTCATGAAGGCACTACTGCATAGCTCTGTGAGCAGGAAAACTTTTTTTGGTCAATCGAGCACACACGTTTCAATTTACTGCGTCAATACATTTACCATCAACATTGATTGGACATATACATGAAACGTGCTGAATTTTCCTCAAACTGTATTATACCAAACAACAAAATCCATGCTCAATTGTTAAATTGTAAAATGTATTATATCAACTGAGTTTTACTATCCAGTTCTGAGCATACACTTCTAAATCTCGTACTAAAGAGCACAAGTGTCTGGACATTCATGTCTCTCATAACATTGTAGACTGAACATTATAAACTTTGTTAAAAAGTAACAGTTGTGGCAGAGCTGTTGCATTGAACTACATTAGATTATGCAGGTGGAGCTGATAAAGTGGCCACCGAGTATAATCTATTGAACTGTTCACTGACACAACACATAAGACAACATTTATTTATATTGCAAGCTGGTTTTTCAATGTTTGTAACTTTGGTTTTAGTTCACTGTGGCCCAGTTCAAGAAATACCTGTTGGATGAACTGTAATGTGGACTTCATAGACCTGGGGTAGTTGAAATGCATAGTGTATGCAAGTCCAAGTGCACATAGCTTTTGGCAGGTCTTGGATGTTGTCCATCACCACTTCTCCTTCAGTGATGGTTTTCAGAGAGGCTAAACTGAGATGCAGGGAGGATGAGGGCACAGAACCTTCAGGTTCAACAAGGAGGATCCCAGTGTCAGTGTTGCAGAAATGCAGAATGAGTCATCATCCAAGTCCTTAATAAATGACAAGTGCACAACAGAGATATTTTTAATTAAGTAACCATCAATGATTGATGAAAATAATTTCTATAAACCAGTTACAATATTTGTCATATCATTTGTTTTATCATAACATGCAGCCCTAGTTTCCTAGTGTAAATTATGTATTAGTTTGAGCTCCACTAAAGGACACCTACCCAGCATCACCAGGGGCCAGTGGTGAGTGGAATGATACATTATTCTTTCATTTGTTAAAAACTATGCTCACAGGTTTTCTTCAAATACAGGTCCTTCTCAAAAAATTAGCCTATTGTGATAAAGGTCATTATTTTCCATAATGTAATGATAAAAATGAAACTTTCATATATTTCAGATTCATTGCACACCAACTGAAATATTTCAGGTCTTCAATTGTTTTAATACTGATGATTATGGCATACAGCTCATGAAAACCCAAAATGCATGTCCCAAAAAATTAGCATATTTCATCCCACCAATGAAAGACAAGTGTTTTTAATACAAAAAACGCCAACCTTCAAATAATCATGTTCAGTTATACACTCAATACTTGGTCGGGAATCCTTTTGCATGAATGACTGCTTCAATGCGGCGTGGCATGGAGGCAATCAGCCTGTGGCACTGTTGAGGTGTTATGGAGGCCCAGGATGCTTCGATAGCGGCCTTAAGCTCATCCAGAGTGTTGGGTCTTGTGCCTCTCAACTTTCTCTTCACAATATCCCACAGGTTCTCTATGGGGTTCAGGTCAGGAGAGTTGGCAGGCCAATTGAGCACAGTAATACCATGGTCAGTAAACCATTTACCAGTGGTTTTGGCACTGTGAGCAGGTGCCAGGTCGTGCTGAAAAATGAAATCTTCATCTCCATAAAGCTTTTCAGCAGATGGAAGCATGAAGTGCTCCAAAATCTCCTGATAGCTAGCTGCATTGACCCTGCCCTTGATAAAACACAGTGGACCAACACCAGCAGCTGACATGGCACCTCAGTGACTGTGGAAACTTGACACTGGACCTCAAGCAATGTGAATTCTGTGTCTCCTCTCTTCCTCCAGACTCTGGGACCTTGATTTCCAAAGGAAATGCAAAATTTACTGTAATCAGAGAACATAACTTTGGACCACTCAGCAGCAGTCCCAGGCGAGATGCTTCTGACGCAGTCTCTTGTTCAAAAGTGACTTGACCTGGGGAATGCGGCACCTGTAGCCCATTTCCTGCACACGCCTGTGCACGGTGGCTCTGGATGTTTCTACTCCAGACTCAGTCCAATGATTCCGCAGGTCCCCCAATGTCTGGAATCGGCCCTTCTCCACAATCCTCCTCAGGGTCCAGTCACCTCTTCTCATTGTGCAGTGTTTTCTGCCACACTTTTCCCTTCCCACAGACTTCCCACTGAGGTGCCTTGATACAGCACTCTGGGAACAGCCTATTCGTTCAGCAATTTCTTTCTGTGTCTTACCCTCTTGCTTGAGGGTGTCAATGATGGCCTTCTGGACAGCAGTCAGGTCGGCAGTCTTACCCATGATTGCGGTTTTGAGTAATGAACAAGGCTGGGAGTTTTTAAAAGCCTCAGGAATCTTTTGCAGGTGTTTAGAGTTACGTCGTTGATTCAGATGGTTAGGTTAATAGCTTGTTTAGAGAAACTTTTCATGATATGCTAATTTTTTGAGACAGGCATTTTGGGTTTTCATGAGCTGTATGCCATAATCATCAGTATTAAAACAATTAAAGACCTGAAATATTTCAGTTGGTGTGCAATGAATCTGAAATATATGAAAGTTTCATTTTTATCATTACATTATGGAAAATAATGACCTTTATCACAATATGCTAATTTTTTTGAGAAGGACTTGTACAGGAACTGTCATCAGGGTTCTCACACCTGTCTGTCTAGGCCCCAATCCCGACATGAACTTGACAGAGCATAGCATAAGACATAAATTAAGATTAAAAAGATAGTTTGAATTTTTTATAAGTGTAGTTGCATGAGGTGCTTACAGATGGTCAACGTATTACAGTAGATAGTGGTCACCCTTTCACTACTTTGGAGAAGCAGTAGGAGGATCGGTGTAGGAAGATAAGCAATGTACTTTTGTGGACATGGTCAGCAGCAATTTGCACTTTTAGACATCTTGAAACATCTATAATAGTTTGAGTAGACACATTTAGTATATTTATATGGGATTAACCTGTCTAAATAAAGGTTGAATGAATTTACAGTGCTGTACATTGCTGTCTTGACAGACTTTTCAGATTTGAAATGTAAGTTATAGAGCTCGCCACACCAACCAAATGCCATAGTCAAAATGAATAATTTTACCTCACAGAACACAAGAGTTACTGGTCTACCATGTCAATGTTAGTTTATGTTATTGTGTGATTTCAGTGAATCCAAACCAATAAAGTAACAATAAAATGACACAACTAAACAGATTGAGGCAGCAGTAGAAGAGCAGCTCCTGTATTCAGCAAAGTAAAATGACTGATTATGCCTATGAAGATTGGTTGGTTAGGCAGGAGCAATATTTATGTAACTTATACAACAGAGATTTTGTCAGAAGCCTGAGGTAAAGCAGTAAAAATATTATATATATATATATATATATATATATATATATATATAACGTACACTTCACTGATATTGATTTTTTTAGGTGCCTAAAACAATGTTTCTGCAGGCACTGTCCACATCTGTACAGAGGCGGCTGTGGCTGAGTGGTTAGAGCAGTCGTCCTCCAATGCGAGAGTTGGAGGTTCAAATCCACCAGCAGTCACATGCTGAAGTGTCCCTGGGCAAGACACTGAACCCCTCATTGCCTCTGATGTGTGTCCCATCAGTGTATGAATGTGATAAAGCTCTGATTAGTCTCTTTAGAATGATTTGTTCAATTATCTTTGTGGAGATCTAGTATAGAGCTGTATGAACGGGTAAATGAGGCACAGATTGTTGTAAAGAACTTTGAGTATCTTGAAATAAGATAGAAAGGCGCTATATAAGTACAGTCCATTTACCATTAATAGTCCATTTACATTGCATAGTTTCCTACACTGGTACCCCTGCTGCTTCTCCAAACTGGGGCTGTGTCGACTGCCACTTACTGCAAGTAATACACTGACTTTGGATAAATAGCTCATACAATCCATCCATTATCTTTACCCGCTTCTTCCATTTTGGGTCACGGGGGTCGCCGGTGCCCATGTCCAGCAATCACTTTGCGAGGGGCAGGGTACACCCTGGACAGGTCGCAAGTCCATCACAGGGACACATAGAGACAAACGAGACAAACAACCCAACATTTTTCAGTCAGGTCATCTGGACAGTTTCTTTTTCTTTGTTGTGCTGAAACATTTCGCCTTTGGTCCGGAAGGCTTCAAACCACCATTCACTCTCTCTCTCTCTCACCTAGGGACAATTTAGAGTTACCAGTCAGTCTAACATGCATATTTTTGGTCTGTGGGAGGAAACCGGAGCACCCGGAGAAAACCCACGCATGCACGGACAGAACATGCAAACTCCACCCAGAAAGGCCCCCGGACCGGGATTTGTACCGGCAACCTTCTCGCTGAGAGGCAGTAGCTCTACCAGTTGCGCCACCGTGCTGCCCTCATACAACCCATTTAAATCAATAAATAAACAAAGGCAATGCATTTAGCCGTAAACCAATTTTACAGAATCAAAACTAATATTGTGAACTAAAAACCCTCTGATTGTCTTCAGAAGTTTACGCAAATACTATCAAACTCCAACTGCACAAATTAACTCTTGGCCAAAGCCAAACGTTTGAAGTCCAAAGACACCCATACAAATGGCGAGCTGCTCTAAATAACAGCTGCCCTGAATGGCAGGAGAGCTGGGTTTAAATAGGTAGGCCTCTCCTGTGGTTGGAGGAGCAGGATGTGCAGAAGCCAACCAGGATGCAGATGGATGTCCCTTGGGAAGGAGCCATGAGAGGCCAGCCAATAGGGGCCACAGTACAGCTGGGTCAGCAAGTCAACTGCAGTTATATTATCACTCAAACATATGGCCTCAGGCTATAACACATGATGGACAGTTTACACATCTAGAAAGGTACCATCAATGCAGAACGGCATACAGATTTTACAACATATTCCCATCCAGACTGTCTTTCTCAAGGAAGGCCTTGCATATTTTAACAATACATAGAAATGAAAGGAGAAAATACAGGCACAGAAAAAAATTAATGACTTTTAATCTGTATTTCAGGTGGACCCTAACCCAAAGCGCCTCAGTGCAGTTGAAAGACTAGAAGCTGATAAAGCCAAGTATGTCAAGAGCCAGGAAGTCATCAATGCCAAACAGGAGCCGATCAAACCACCTGTACTGGCCAAACCAGATGTTGGTCATGCTTTTGTGTCCAAGAGAAGCCCTGGGGCTGGAGGAGGAGGAACTGGAGGCAGAACACCTTTCAAAGCATCTAATAATAATGCAAAGTCTGACATGTGTGCAACAAGCAGTGGCAGTAGCAAACGAGAAAATCTAAACCTGGAGATCTTAAAAAACCTGCTAAATTCGTCATCAGTCCCAGGGGCAGTGTCCGAAGGATTGTCGAGTGGAGCTAAGAGTGCTGTTTTGATGAGGTCATCAGGAGGACTAGCCAGAAGCTGGACACCATCTGGGTAAACAAACATATTCAATATATTTTTTATGGTTCCATGAAAAATTTCATTCAACCTTTATTTAGACAGGTAAATCCCATTGAGCCTCAAGGACTCATTTACGAGACCTGAAAATATTGCTAAATATTGAAAATATTGCTAAATATTGAAAATATATCTAAATATTGAAAATATTGCTAAACGTTGAAAATATTGCTAAACATTGAAAATATTGCTCCTTTACAGATTTCTGCTGTTTTTTTGTCACACTTAAATGTTTCAGATGATCAAACATACAGTATGTCCATTTCAGACAACGATAAACTGAGTAAACAGTTTTTAAATGTTAATTCCATGTGTTAATGGCCCTGTGAGAAGAAGTAATTGCCCATGTTATTAAATAAGTTTTGGACCTCATTGTCCAAAAGGTCTGATTTAGTTGAAGTCTACAAATTCTGGAGACATTTTTTTGTGATGGTAATTTTTATAATTTCACTACTTAGTTTGGACAGTTGGAGCATATTGTTTGTTATATTTATTTTTACAAATCTATTTGTTGAAAGCATTGTATTTAATTTCTGTATCTTCATCAGATTAGTATGGCTTTAGAAAGACCACAACAAAACACGTTTTTTTTCCTCCTCTCATTTTTCCAGACATTGAAAATGATGGAAATTCGTCATGGCGACGGAGGACTTTAATCCATGTCAATATCACTTGGTGGTCCAGTGGACAACCTCGAGGTGAAATCTGGTTGTCCGAGATGAAAATAGCTTGTCAAATGGAAACCCTGATTAGGGTTAGGTTTGCGTATGAATAGCCTTTTCTCCCTTAATAAATAGAATTATGATTTTAAAACCTTTTGTATCTACTGGGTACTCAGTTTATCTTTGTTGAAATCTTGGCAATTGTTTTATAATCTGAAATATACATGACAAAAAGGCCCAAAAAAATGTACAAGTGCAAGCTTCTATTAACCAAAGTGTAATTCTTTGTTCATTATTTTCAACACCTGCAGAAAAGGTTGTTTCTTCACTGTCACTTCTTTTATTTAATATTTGTAAACAAATATGAAAACCGGCTTTTCAAAGTAAGACACAAAGTATGTTCCTTCTTTATTTAATAAGGAACGTGGAACTTTTTTTTTCCACTTTAATTTTTATTAAACTTTTCAATACTGAATAACATTTCAAAGATATATCACATATACATTTTCCAGATTATGGTAGCCTAAGCAAGCCTCTCTTTACAATAATAATTCCAAAAACAACAAAAAAGATGTTAAAACATCCCCTCAAAAAATAAGTAAATACATAGTTGTTGTTTTTTATCAATAAAAATAAAGTATGTACATATATATAGATATGTATATATATATATGTATATATACATATGTATATATATATATGTGTGTATATATATGTATATGTATATATATATGTATGTATATATGTATATGTATGTATATATGTATATATGTATATGTATATATGTGTATATGTATATATGTATATATGTATGAATATGTATATGTGTATATGTATATATGTATATATGTATGAATATGTATATGTATATATGTGTATATGTATATATGTATGAATATGTATATATGTGTATATGTATATATGTATATATGTATGTATATGTATATATGTATAT